CACAAACCTCCATCAACCTCATTCAACACCTACATGAATACGCCACATACCAACTAATTCACAATGGGAAGCTCAGTGATGCCTTTGAAGTGAAGATAGAAGTAAGATAAGGTTACCGTCTACTATCACCAATCATCTTCCTGACTGTGATCGACTCGATGATCATGCATAAGAGTGTGAGGAGCGAGAAGAGAGGGATACGCTGGACACGGGAAAACATCCTCGAAGATTTGGATTTCGTTGATGACTTGTGTCTAATGTCACACGAACTTGAAGATCTACAGGCAAAATCCAACAAGTTGACAGAAGGGTCAGGCCAGTCAAGATGGGACTTCATTCAGGTGAACGTAGAGAAGACAGAGGTAATGAAGATACCAAACCAACACCTCCATCACCATCACCACCACCACCACCGCCAACAACAATAACAAGCTCCAATCACCATGAAGGGGAGAAACTTAAAGGAAGTGGCGTCTTTCACCTACCAACTAGGCAGCATCGTTTCAACTGCAGGTGGCACAGGCACAGACGAGGACGTCAAAGCCGGCCGGCCAGCCAGCCAGCCAGCCAGCCAACCAGCCAGCCAGCCAGCCACGATACGAAAGACAGAAAGACAGGTGTTCATCAATTTGAGAGCAGTGTGGAGATCTTCTGCACTGCACTCAGCATAAAGCGTGAACAACATCCAGATTTTCAAGACTAATTAATGCCAGTCAAGTCAGTGCTTGCTTCTATGTGATGGTTGAGAGACTTGGCGTGTTACGAAATGCATTTCCAACAAACTACAGATATTCATCAACAACTACCACCTACACTCACTCCTTACTACAGCTCAGATGGCTAGAATAATGAGAATGAGGAAGAAGGAACTATGACTGGCTTGCTGGCTGGGTGGCAACGAGTCAACGAGGCGAGAACCTATCACTCAATAAATGTTCAGTGGAAGGAAGTGTAGATGGATTTGGCATGCAGTGAGAAGACCGATTGGGGGCATCATGTACCAGGTCAGGTCGTCGAGTGTAACCGAGATATGAAATGATGATTTGTGCGTTCGAGGTGAGAGTGACATGGAGGTGATGTAGTGAGGAATGAATGAGAGGTTGTGTGCATTTGTGTAGCTCGGTTGAAAAGATTGTAGATAAGAGAGTGTAATGGAGACATGCTACTGAAGCGCTACGTTCAACTAGGACCCCAAGGGACAAATAATATTAAATACCATTAAATAATTGTGACGTTTTACACATTGGTTAAACTAGCTGAACAAGGTTAGTTAGCTTACTGGAGCATGGAAACTTCAAATAATCTAGTCTGGCTAAGCGACAAAATCAACTTATAACCTCGCACAGCAGTACATAGCTTCAAGTTATCACACTTCATAGTGGTACACAAAGAACAGCTGGATAGAATTAGGCCGATTTCAAAGTAGACAAAGTTATGTGAGAGAATAAATAAAGTAAAGGCGAATGTCAATGAGTGAATACATCTTTGTTATTGTGACTGACCGATTTTCAGCCACGTCATCACTGAGACTTCAACTATACAGTCGATATCTCTTGACGCTCTTCAGATCAACAGATAGAGGTTAGTCATTTAAAATCCTTTTTTAGCCTAATCCATCTTCCCCCTGACATAGCATATCAAGTTAGACGGTGGTTGAGCATGTATAGTACATGTCTAGTCTAATATTCTGTTTAGAATAACTGAATAATAATAAATCATTAGGAAAATCTTTCCTATTTACTCATATCTATGTAATAGCTGATTCTTTTATCTATTTAATTCTCGTTACTGATGCATACCTTTCAAATAAATAAACAGCTTCATTTATTCACTAAGCTAGAAACAATAAACATTTTCAAGGTTACATTTTTTTATAACAGGGCCAAATTACTTGGTAGATGGACTTCTAAGGGGATACTTCGATACTGTTGAATATTCATGATATTATATTGATCTTGGTGACTAGGAGAGGAATTCAACTTGATGCACATTTCGTCTTATTTGGGATTAATTCATCAGTTGGATGTACCTGAACCTTAGTGTAGAATGAGGATGGAAGCGAGTACTCATCACTTTTAACGCCAGAGCGTTATCCATTTAGCCATTGAGCCACAATAATCATTTCTTATGCAATGGGTTTTATATGGTATTTTGAATTTCTCGTTCATGTATAGGGCTGAACTGTTCAACCTCTAGCGTTTGAAGGAAAGTGTACAGGATTCGATCCTCAGTTGGAAAAACATCGCTCATTGAGGTACAGGAATGTTCAGCTGACAAGTCCAAATTACAATGAAATGCGCGCCCTGGATTCCATTTATGAACTTGAGTAAAATAAGAAAAAACTATTGAAGTGAAATAATATGAATACATTCCATTTTAGTCAGTTATTTTAGAATAGTCAGAAAATGAAAAAAACAGTATTATTTACTGGATAACAATGTTACTGACATAGTTTATTATTCATAGTAATATCAAGATAATTCCTCAGTTTTAAGATATGGTTTTTATAGTTCTAATCTTTTCTCGTTCTTTGTGATAATGATAGTGAAACTTTTCAACTATCTAGGTGTATTTTGTGTTTCTGATTTGATAAAGAAAGATTTGGCATAGACGAGGATGTCAAAACCAGGATTTGAAAGACAGCAAGACAGGTTCTCATTAATCTGAAATCAGTGTGGAGATCAACTACACTCAGTAAAAAGAACAAGATCTGGATTTCCAACACCAATGTCAGTCAAGTCAGTACTGCTATATGGTTCAAAAACTTGGTGTATCACGAAAAGCATTTACAATAAACTACAGATATTCATCAACAACTGCCATCTACGCTCACTCGATACTGAAGATCAGATGGCCAGAAAGAATAAACAACAAGGAACGGACTCTGGGAATGAACCAACCAACAACTTATCACCCAACAAATATGCAGAAAGAAAAGGAGATGGATTGGGCGTACACTGAGAAGGCCGATTGGGGACATCACGTACCACGCTAGGTGCTCGAGTGGAATCCAAAGAGGAAACGACCAGTTGGACATCCTAGGCGAGGTTGACATGGAGGAGATGGTGTGAGAAAGAAATGAAAGCTTATGGGTAGTCGTGGAGTGACATTCAAAAGACTTTAGAGAAGAGATTGCAATGCAGACGTGCTACTGAAGCCGTATATCTCTGTAGGAGCCTAAGGTTGAAATAGTAATGGTATAATAATCTCTCCATCCACCCTGCTAGGTTAGTTTGAGGACTTTTCATTCTGTTCCATCATATTGTGTGCTATAGCATGTATAGCTACGGCCAATTATTTCTCCAAATTCCTCATCTTACTAAGTAGGATCTACTAGTTATGATCTAGCTAGGGTTTTGTGCTTGGATAGTCTAATTGAAACTGATCGACTATTCTGACCTCGCAATCACTGCAAGGGATTTGATAAATCAAGTTATTCTGCTTAATTGGATCAATAGGATCTTTTAAACTACAAAGCTTGTTTCTGATTGAGTTTTTATTTGTTTAAGGGACGCTTTAATCCCAACTCTCATGAAAATTCTTCATAACGCTTTCAAAGTATCTTCTTTGTGTGATAATGTAGTGAAAGCTTTGAATTCTCTCTCAACCCTCTCATCATCTTTACCATTAATGGCAGAATTACTACGAATAATACCTGTGCTACGGTTATTATTACTACTACTACTACTGCTACTACTACTACTACTACTACTACTACTACTACTACTACTACTGCTACTACTACTACTACTACTGCTGCTACTACTACTACTACTACTGCTGCTACTACTACTACTACTACTACTGCTACTACTACTACTACTGCTACTACTACTACTACTACTACTACTACTACTACTACTGCTACTACTACTACTACTACTACTACTACTACTACTACTGCTACTACTACTACTACTACTACAACTACTACTACTACTACTACTACTACTACTGCTACTACTACTACTACTACTGCTACTACTACTACTACTACTCACACCACTATTTTTCTTTCAATTTCTTATGAGTTTATTTGCAAATTTAGGTGGATAGTTAATGAGATGCAAGGTATTCTTGTTGTGTCTTATTTCTTGTCGCAGATTTTCTGCCCTACAAGGAAGCCTTTTTTACTCTATTACTTAGCCTACTTTAACTTTGATGCGGTGGGATGATTTGAAATTTAACCTAGCGATTCAAATGATAGGGTTTCCTATATAGACACTAGTCTCTAAACTTCCACCTTGTGTTCGTTTAGTCTAGTCTTATAGTTCAACACTTGGTAGCTCACCTTCATCACTTTCTAAGTCATAGATAAATTGGATTAGGAAATTGAATCTATTGTCCTTAACATAAAGAAAGCTAGAGAATTCGAAATACATAAGCTATGTCTCCTCAAAATGTGAATCTACCTGATATGAAGGTGAATAATATGATAATCCTAATAAACCAACTGAAAATAGAAAAACAGTCTACCATATTGCTCAAGTTTTACTTCTATATTAATTAGTATGAGTTCATTTTGATTCAGCGAATTCTCCTCAGCTGTTTATAACCTATACAATATCAAAATGTATACAGTTTGACAAGAAAATGTCAAGAAATATCCCAGGCAGAGCGTTACTTTATACTCTACCCTAACAACAATTGAAATAACCAATCAAACTTCTTTATTTATAAAATCTGCCTTTCCCATCAAAAATGTAGAACCTTATTGGTTGCTTTAATCGTTGTTAGGGTGACTTTTAAAGTCACTCCAGGCGGAGATAAACGTAGGTTCTCTACACCTTCCTCATTCTATTACTGATTCATACTTGTAATTTCCTATCGATATGCTGAGATGGATGATGTTAATTCAATCTATCCTCGACTCATAGGTATGCGCTGCTGATGAGCCTCTATACATTTCTAACAGTTTTACAATTTATCATAAATAAATATATGAATATAAACAATAAGAGAAAGTTAATCAAATGTATGTAAACAACTTTTCAACTTACTATCAGAATTTTTATCACACCATTGCTTTTTAACAATTTGTCCAAAACATAACCATTTACGTGTATAACACAATGTAATCACTGTACATATAAATATTATCCCAGTAATTATTAGATAACACCATGCCCATATTGGTAAATATGGTGTATCACCTTCTTGTCTATATATCATAATGTTATATATCGTCTTACTGATCCCTTTCACACAGGCAATCGAAGAGTAAATAACTAAATCTAAACATGTAGAGTTATATATATATATATATATATATATATATATATATATATATATATATATATATATATATATATATATAATATATATAATATATATAATATATATATATATATATATATATATATATATATATATATATAATATAACTACCCGCACTTAGATTGCCTTGAGTACACATGATCAATACTATGAAATCGTTATAAAACTATATAGAGTGATCCGTTTATAAATGAATGTGTGATTTTTATTCTCCTGAGACTTTATAATAAGAATAGGTGGTATATAAATCTAACTTGACATTGGATTAGGATAGATATATGAATGTACTGTAATGTAAGTAAGTAAGCAAGTAATCAGATAAGCTATTGTCCAGTTTCAGGCATTTAATCTGTTGTTTATATGAGCTAGTAATAATCACTACCTGTCTACTGGGACATTGAAAGTATGACTAGGGTTCGAACCCTTGGGATGTCTTATACATTATATACCGATGTAATTACTTCCATTGATGTTAATAATGTTTGACTAGTAGGTTAGAAAACCTAAATAAGCAAATAAAACACATTATAGAGTGACACTACGTCTTAATAACTGCCCTCTAGAATACATTAAAAATTGTTAATATGAACTGATAAGACGAAGAGTAGTAATGTTAATGGTGATTACAACATGTCTAAGAGGGAACTCAAATCCTCTGTAGTGTTTCCGTATAAAGAAGCAATCAAGCAAGCTAATTCGTTCAATTTAATTCATATAACCTATTGTGTGTAAGCTGTCCATGCTAACTTTAAGAGCATAGCTGGAATTCCAACCCATGGACAGCAAGTGTCTAGACCTGAGGATTACTGTGTCACCCATATGTATACGACCATTATTTAATTACTAATTTGTCCCTTGGGTTCCTAGTTGAACGTAGGGCTTCAGTAGCACATCTCCATTACACTCTCTTATCTTCATTACCTCTGTCTTCTCTACGTTCACCTGAATGAAGTCCCGTCTTGACTGGCCTGACCCTTCTGTCAACTTGTTGGATTTTGCCTGTAGATCTTCAAGTTTGTGTGACATTAGACACGAGTCATCAACGAAATCCAAAACTTCGAGGGTCTGTTTAGATCCGGCGTATGCCTCTGTTCCCCCTGTTCAGTATTTGTTGTACGATCCAGTCTACTACAATGGGAAAGTAAGGTGTAGGAACTTCCTAACTGTGCAGTAATTCACTTGGATGTGGTTAGCAATGGGATCCAGGAGACATGTTTTGTCCTGTTTGAGATTGACTCTTCAGCTGAGCATATCTGTACCCCAGATGAATGATATTATTCTCATTCGGACCCGGATGAAGAACTCATCGTTTCAAAAGCATCACTGACGAACAATACCACTTACTAGTATCGCTGTACATTCAACTGACGAGTACCTAATAGGATGAAGAGTGTATCCTAGATTCCACTGCCAGTCACTACCATACTAATACCATTTCCTTATGACATTTATTAGAAGATTGTATAAAGTTGACATTTGATATATTGACCAATAACTGATCAATATTATGCGTTGGTAATCAAATTTCTTGAGTGACATATATTGGTCACAATTGACCTGATTAATAAATGGGGTGTCTTCAAACCAATTCCAATGAAATTTCAATCAACCATTAATTCAATCTGTAATAATTCATTCCAAGGTAAATAGTATAATATTATTAGAAATTCATATGCAGAGTTCGAACTCATGACATAGTGATTGGAAGTCAACTAACTAAACCAATGAATAAACCACAACGTTGTTACTTGAGAATAATTGCATTATACACTAATCATAATACTTTAAAATTGTATTGGTAACAAATTATTCACTGACTTCTATGGAAAAGGGTTCGAACCATGAACAAAAGTGGATATATAGTACATAACATTGCATAAAACAAAACGGTGAAAATAATGATGATACGAATACCAGGAGGAAAATTAAGGATGAAAGGCAATTGTTGATTGGTCATTGGGGGAGTAACCGACTTCATGTTGTCTAGTCTTATAGGCTGATCGATCATTTTGTAATGTGGTTGGCCATTAAGTAAGGAGACTGACCATCGCGACGTAGTGAGCGAGATGTTAGTTGGATGGAGATAATCGGCAAGAAAGCCTACTTTACCAAGGTGTGTTGCTTGTTGGCACTCGTCATTAAGGCGTATCTTCAACCTCGACAGAATTGATTTACCACAGTCAGAGACGTTACCATATTGCAAAATGATCGATATACTAGCTCATTGTTAACGTCGCTTACTGTTTCAGTGAGTGATGTGGGTTCGAACCTCTGATGAGATATCACTTTCCCCGAGGCCGCAGACAGGCCTTGCTGATGAGTTCACCTCGGACTGGGTCTTTTCTTTGATTGGTTCTATTCAAATGAGTGATGTCGTCCCTACCAGGACTCGGAATCGGGTGCACCCGGCTGACAAGTCCCAAATAAGGCGAACCGCACATCATGAATTCCACTGCTAGCCACTATCCATCGGTCATCAGATACCTTAGACAGTTTTATATCCCTAAACGTAGGTGATTGTTTTCTAATTGACTCTATCTAGGGTCATATCATAAAATACCAGATAGTATTTAACTCGATAGTATGAGGATTGTCATTTACAAGGTCACTGGTTTGTATCTTGATGTGGCCTAGATTTGTATTTCACCTTCAATCATCGCCGTGGTAAAAACAGATTCATCAATAAGACTGTCTTCTTTTCAACATAACATCTGAGATGAGATCATAACTACTAAAAATTTCATAATATTAATAGAACCTAGTAGTAAATTTGTGATGGATGCATTCGACTTTTGAGACTAGAGAGGAATGAACGGAAAATTTGGTTACTATCATCTGACGTTCATTACCCGGCCCACTTCTCTCTAATTTATTTAGAGTGGAAGAAAGAAATTGAAAATGAAAAATGATTGGCTGATTCCTCTGTTAAAAAGTACATATGTTTGTGTGGCCAAGATGCTTTCCTATTGGTGTAGGATACTTATTTGTAAGAATCTGATTGGTTGAGCTTAGGTAAGCTATCTGTATTCTGATTGGCTTAGAACATCATCATCACTTGTCAGATAAATTCTGTTTTAAGAAATTAATCTTTTGTAGAGAATTTAATTCTGTAGTGTCAACGTTGTGTAATATTTCAAGGAGCCTGTTTCAAAATATATTGAGCGTAATTGCTGTTATGATAATTGTAATTTCCTATTGTTATACAGGGCTGAATTGCTCGACCTTTGTTGCTGTATGGGCTCGTATGTGGATACCATTGAAACTACTGCTGATTCATGATGTGACAATGATCTCGGTGACTAATAAAGGACTCCTCAACTGTTGTTTTGGTACTCAGGTTAGTGGATAACGCTGTGCCAGTTTAAGCGATGGGTACTGAGTTCAATCCGCAGTGGGAACCACATCACTGACTGGGATCCTGCTACATCCAGCTGACGAGTCCCGAGTAGGACGAAACGCGCGTCCTGGTAGTCACCGAGATCAATATGTATTGAGTGTTATTTTGTAGCTGTAAATGAGGTTTGCAGTAAAATCTCAATCTTACATGTATTGATCGAAAGTTTGCATATAATGATAAGTTCTTATTTCGGTAATAATTGGAAAAAACTACTACTCGTGATCACACCAACAGTCGAAACATTTTCTTAATAATTTACTGAAATGAAAGCTTACCATTGTTTGTTAACTTTTCATTTGAAATGTACTTATAATATAATATATTATTCCATTCGACAATACACAATCTTTTCATCGATATAATTAAATCCTTCCAAGAATACACTGCTACATTCATTGTATAAGGTGTATTTTTACGTGTGTAATCCTGGTGTAGTATATTAGAACAAGCGACAAAGTGAACAGATATTCTGTATGAATTCTCAACGTTTCGATGTTGCTAGGAAGATCCTTTTCAAGAGTATGAATGTGACATTGGTAGGGAAAACACAAGTAAAAATACACCTTATACAATGAATCATACTAACTTGGTGCCCAAGTTTTTTCAAACCATCCAGTTCATTGTTGGTCAGGCAGGATACCTTCAATACACTGTTAGCTGTTATTTTGTTTTAGGATAATGTTGGTGAGAAAGTGATTACTGTGCCTTGGTAGTTCTGACCAACATTAAGGTGATCTTCGAAAACATGTACTAACTGAGTAATCACGTTCATGTGGGCAAACTTTACAAAGTATCTGAGTGTTTGCCTCAAAATTACTACCATGTACTCTGCACTACGAAACTCTTTATTGAGAGTGGATTCGCTGTTCAAGTTGAAGTATGAGAGCTAGGAAACTATTTTATTTGAGTTATGATTAAGAGACAGCATTTCTTTTACTTCCTGTGCTTCTAAGAAGTGGTAGTGTATCGGAATTCTTGTTGTTATCGAATAACTGCAATAAATTGGCTTATAAATACTATGTGAGTATTGAATATTTTGTTCAAGATTGAAGAAACAAGGATTTTACTTGAGGTTAGAATAGTCTGCCTCTGGTAACACTTTACTTTCAACCTACACGTGGAGTTCCGATGACTAGCATAAATAATGTTACCTGAAATTTTTCATGGCCTAAAGCAATATTTTGCAAACAATCATCTCTCCATATATTTGGATATTCGGATGAATAATTTTAACTGATGTGCATCAAGATTGAAGGCTAAATGAATGTGATCAGTTGTAGCTACTATTAGTTATCGCTGACCACATATTCATTAAGATGAATAAACCCAATACGACGTGACTTTATCTTTCACCTGTTCAAAGAGCTTTGATGGATATATACGCCTCAACTTTTCAATTATCCGAACCTTAACTGCATAATAGGTAGTTTTCATTCTCTGTTCTACACTTTTTAACAATCTACTATTCTGTAATACATTCATTCGGTTGATAATTGAA